ACTGTCAGGGGGAAGTAGCTATGTTTGAATTTAGAAGATTCATACGAGTCCTGTTTCTGTTTCTTTTTTTTTTTTCTTTTTTTCCATAGAGCAGTAAAACCTCAGTGTCTAGACATCTCCAATTGAAATAATTACCATCACTGACAATTATTGTTCTGTAAGTAAAACAAACAACACCATGGGGGAAAAAATTGGACAAAGCAATCTTTTTCCTCACTTTGAAGATTGGAGCATAAGGTCAGCCTTGCTGTAGTGCTGTACGAATAGCCCAGCTAAAGAGACATCTCGTGTTTATGTTATTCTTTCAGATTAATTGGAGACACTCATTTCCCTCTGCTTATAATGTCTGGCGCCATTTGTAACAAATTACATCGTCATCTGATCTGAACCTGGGTTTTAATGCGGGAGCATGAGCCTGTGTTTGCCTCTGGGCTCGCTAGCGTGCAGTGCGGACGACCTGATGTTGTTGGAGCTCTTTAACGTCCAAGCTGGGCTTGGTGGGCCTAGCCACGGGTTCACGCGGCACCCCGGGGGTAGTGCACAGCTTCTCCTTTATCGTGCCTGTTTGTTTGGAGTGATTCTTGTGCTCCCCCATTCCCACCATGCAGCATCTGGGAGAACACGTGGCTCCAAGATGTGGGCCACCTTCAGAAGAGGAGCCTACCCTTCTAGCCCGACTGATTTCAAAGCGTCTGTCTGCAGCTTTGTTTAGTGTACAGGGAATGGCGGGAATGTGTTGGTTAAATATGCTCTCTTCTTGCCCCTCTAGGATTTTATATTTATTAGTGTTTTGGGAAAAATTTAGCTCATCAGATTTATCTTTATTATAGCGAATCTCGCCGGATGGCATATGCTCTTCGAAGCTGATAAGAGACTGTCCTCTTTTTCTCCCTCCCTGCTCGACTTGTGTGTAAATTGGTGGCCCGGAGCTGGTGTTAGCTTTGTGTACACTCTCACTGCAGTTTCAGAGCCATAAAGCGTCCCTTTAATGACAGGAAGAGCGGTGCGTTAGTTTGCGTCTGGCTTTCTGAATCGCAGGTTATTCTTTGACCAGCTTTATGGGCCTCTGAAATGGGCCTTTTCTGCTCTAGACGGCTCATCGCTGACATCACTTCACACTTTCAGTGAGCAAAGTTCACTCCCTGTTTATCCACTGAAGAAATGGAAAAGATAATGGCGACGTATTCCTATTTTTTGCAAGTCCTTAATTCCCCACGTCTCCCACAAACAGTACGGCAACCTTATTTTTGTCTTTTGTTCACATTTGTTTCAAGTCGGTTGGGATTGGGATTCCCGATGGGAGGTCGGAGAAGGAGAATGAACAGTTGCCTCTTCTGCAGTAAAGAGGTTAAGGTGAAGAAAAAGTTGAGCCAACAAGCAAAGCTCTTGATTTTCCATTCCAGCTTAGGATCCCCTCAGCTGTGGTAATAAGATATTGATTGTGATCAAAAGAACAAGAGCTCTGATACAAATGGCAGGAATTAGATTCCTCCTTAAGGTGGCTAGGTTTAAGGCAACCCAGTTTGGCAGCATGATGGATAATCTTCTCTCCTATTCTCTACCAAACTACTCACAATGGCAGCAACCAAATATTAGCCCCGTTGCTTAGACTAATACATTGGCTGGCTGATAGTTTTGATTGATTGTGGACAGTTTTTGGGGGGTAATACGTACTTCAATTTGAGAATTTATTAAAATTTGTTATCAGTGTCATTTTTATCATGTAAAAAAACAACAAAATTTGGCCCCCAAAATAGGCAGCACACGTTGGAGATTGGTTAGGCTGGTTTCAAAACAATAATCAGTATTGACGTAAAAAAAAAAACCCTATTGTTAAATCTCTCCTGCGGGTAAACCAGTTAATGGTTAAAATGGAGAAATAGTTGGCACATGTTTTCAGTGTGCATCCTGTGCGTGTTTAAAGGTGACGTTTGCCTTGTTGATTGTAGGAGGGAGCAGTAAATGGGTTGGTGGATTAAAATTCTGCATGTTGTAATCTGTAGGGGTTCTGCACTCAACCTTAGAGATGGGGATTTAGAGTAGAACAGTCTATGGGGAGCTAGCAAGGAAGTCATTGCAACGTTGATGCTTTCTGGGCATGATCTACTGTGAGCAGAATCTGGGCCAAAGCCTGAACCCACTAGATGGATTATATCTTCTCTCTGGTGTGGGAACACCTTGGCATCCCCAAACAAAGGATGTAACACTGTGTATAGAGAGGCTCCGATGAGGCAGGGTGAACAGATCTGTGAAGATGTTTTTGCACTTCTGTCTCTGTGCCACACAAAGTTCCCGCATTTGACTTGGGCAGATTATGAAAACTTCTTAAAAATAAATAAATTACTCAAAAAAAATTCAAACAACCTGCGTGGCTATAAAGCAAAGCCCTATTTGTCTGAGTTTTTGTTTTTCTTTATTGTCATAAAGAGGGGAGAGTGATAAGCTGCATTAATCTGCTCCGTCTGCCCCTTGTTTTGTTTCTTGCGAGGGCCAAAGAGGGTCACTACTTTCTGTTTTCTGTCATCCTGAAATCATCATAGAAATTATTCTAAGAAAATGTTTCACTGATTATTTATGCATGAGTCTGTCCCTCCTGCTATATGCGTGCTGTTCAGCTCCAAATCAGACTGCTTCCCCGTGCGATTAACAGATCTTATTTTGTATTTCACCAAAGCAGATGTTTTATTTTGTAATCATTCCTCTCTTCCTGTCAGACCCTTGAAATTGCAGCTGAATTGCTGCGTAGTCTGACTAAAATAAACCTGGGGTTCATCTCAGTCAGAGATTGTGTAAAATCGTGTCGGGTGTGATCGTCCCCATTGAATCTCAATTAGTGCTAAACCCCACGACCTCGTCCGATATGATCGAACGCAAAATAGGATCCTGTGTGTTTGGTGCTTTAGACAGAGAGATTGGAAATAGCCCTCTGTATCGCAGATCATCACTTATTCCCTCACTTGGTCTTCTTACATCATTTCTGGAGTTCTGCTGGGGGATTTTTGACCTTTTGCTGACTGATTGCAACAGCATGTTCAAAAACAATTGGAAGAAATTACAGTTTTTACCTGTGAGCTGTACAAAAATGGTTAAAGCACTGGAAACAGTTTCAGGTTAAGGATGTTTATAATTTAAATAGTGTTTAATATAAACGTGCGTTGCCACAAAATTTTAATACTTTTTTTAAAATCTAGAATCTAAAAGGAGGATTTAGCTCTTATTCCCCCCTCACATTTAGTTTTTCTGTAACCGTTTAAATGTTCGTCTTTCTGATTCCGTCACAGCCAGTTCCCCCAGAAATGGCCTTTAAGGGTTTAAGGTCACTTTCTGGAAAGCATTAACCGCCCTCTCTGTTTTTCCTTGAGAGGGAGGAGGCAGGGGGGTGAAGTCGTCGAGGCAGGAAAGGCAGTCTTATCACCATCTCCTGCCACAGAAGGTGTTAAAGCACTGTGAAACTTATCTGATATGATAAGTAAGAGAATAAATCTGTCTGGAATAAGTGGAGGGAACAAGAGTGAGTTGTGTAAACACACAGGTGGCTGAGAGAAAGGCACACACATGCCTGTGTACCGGTTCAAAAGACAGTTTTGTTTGTTTGTTGCCGTGGCCTTTAGCACCCGTATGGCAGGTTTAGCGCTCAAACTGGATTCCCCTTTCTGTTTTGGTGAGTCACTTCTATGTTTGCCATGCGCTTTCTTTTTTAGTCCAGACTTCAATCATTGGATGTTTTCTCTCAACCCAAAGACTGATATGTTTTCAGTGCCAAAAATCAGGTCAAGAAAGGCTTTTTTGTCTGCTCTTGGAGCACATGAATCACTCTCCATAGTTTACCCCGTTAGTGTGTTTATGTGGTGGTTGATTATACCAACCTCCAGGCAGAGGCCACTTGTGTGAACAGTGATTCCTAAGCTCTGCTCTAATGGCACCCGGTTGTATGGGTTCAACAATTCAGCCAAACAGCACAGAAAGGGAGGTCTCCCAGCACACCATTGTCAGTAGGGGGGTGTGCGTATGCACACTATGCCTCCAGGGCAGACACATGCTCTGCAATTATCTCGTCTCACACACCTAAGTCGGGGAAAAAAAATTGGCCAAAGAAGCTGTCATTATCTGCAATTGAGCACAGAAGACAAGAAAGGGAAATCCGTCAAGTTAGACTGTGATTGAGATGGATTGTTTTTTTTTTTTTTTAAGAAAAACAGTGCACCATGCTATTAACCCAGCCTGAACCACATTAGCTTCCTTAATATCTCTTCTTACTTTCTAATATGCATGGCGTGAAGTAACGGCTTCTTCTCCTTTTCCTCCTCCTGCCGCGGTCGTTAAGGCCACTCCGAGACTAGAGTTCCAGGAATGTGTCGCATCAGGAAAAATTGTCCGCAGCCTCTGCAGGCCGTCTGTCATGTCTGTATGGTAGGGGGGGTGGGAAGTGACGCGGGGCTATGGGTTCCCTTTGTCTCACCTAGAATAACCTTCACCTTTGCTGCTCTCTGCCAACGCAGCCTGCATTACTAGTGATTCCTGCCTCGTTTTAATTTAGTTTATTACGTCAAGAAAAATCTCATAAGATGAGAGCTTCATAAGCGGTGACCGTCGTCTCCCTGCCTTTTCACCTGTTTGACAGCAGTATCGCTGCACCGACAGACAAATCGCTTTCTAATAAGCCTCTCTTACAAGTGAATTGCCAGCTATTGAATACGCCGTTAGCCTAAAGTGCAAATTGACTGCAGCAGATGGATGGGCTGTGGGTCATGTTTGGAAAGTGAGCCAGGAGAGAGGCGCTCCGTATCGACAGTATTGATCCGGAGTCGTCCCTCGAAGGCCGACTGGATTTATGAACTGTAGTGTTTTCAGCAGTGCGGACGGATCAGGCTGGTTTGTCAAACTGGAAATGTAATTGTAATTGCTGCAACTTGTCATACACCCGAAAAAAACAACAACAAAAGGATTCAAATTACATATTTAATACCGCAAGTAAATGTTTTGCTTTTTTCCTGTTTTAGAAATCTGGGAAACAATAAGCTGGCCTCCCTCAGCACGGAAGCCTTTGCCAATCTTCCTAACCTGCGTGAACTGTAAGTATTCAACTTTATAAATCTGAATTGATTCCAGTAATAAAGTGCCTTGATAATATTTTAACCCCTTAACTTTCTGGGTATTTTTAACTTTACTAAATCTATGGATCAGAGTATATGGGAAACATTTCTAGCAAATAATGATTGGAAAAGCTTAAAAATAACCACCCCACAGCTTGATTCTGCCACCACTGTGTTTCGCCATTGGGGTGGCGTCTTCACAAGGGTTAGGTGTAGTGGTCTTTTCAAAACATAAAAGCAAAAAAACAGAAATAAAATGGAAATGCATCTCAGTTTTAGAGCTTTTTAAATCTAATATTTTCTCGCTCTAGTATCATGACAGAGAACTTGGCATAGCGTTGCTTTTGAAGAGGTACTCAGCACCCACTGCATGCTATGTGGAGGTTTCTATCAACTCACACCTTCTCCTTGCCGAAGAAAAACCTCCCTGGATTTCTTGCAGACAAACTGGAAACTCCTTTTTTTTGCTTCTCTCCTTTTAACACCAAATTTGTTTAGTTGGTTTTATTTCCCCTTTTTTCAAGACCTCTTTAAACACAACATTCTTTATTCCTGTTTTCTAAAACTTTCTCCCTCTTGATTATATACTGCTTTATGTAATATAACATAACCTTGTAAAATACTATGAGGTATGCGGTGGTAGCACGTCCAAGTGTGAAAACGTTGAAGGCGTGGGAAGTAAATGACTTGAAGCAGACCAATGTCAGTGTGATTCCCGGCAGCATCCTTCTGTGTTGCCTTGAACTAAGTCCAATTAAGAATTAAGTGGTGGTTTTCTATATTAAGCCTTCCCCTCCACCATCCGATACTGTGGCCAGCACTGGCCTTGTAAATATTTTATACGGTGAGGAGAGGGGCTTGGCTTTGTGTCACTCAGCACCAGTGCGCGGCACAAACACACACGGGTGCGGGCCGGCCGATAATACACGCACTGGTGACATCTCTGGCAGGCTGACCCACCAGTCATACGCTCCTGGACATCTGTTTTACTCCCGTGTTATTTTTGGTTTTTACAAGGATGACCTGCCGCTTGCTCTGCGGCAGACGTGACAAGTACTGTTTGAAATCCTTTGATTTATGTCCAGATCGAATTTAGCAAACTCACAAAGGTTCAAACCTTAGTGATGTCTTGAAAAAAATGTGTTTTAGGATCTTTCATACCTTTTCTTGTAACAAATCTTACTAATTTTGGATCTTATTTCTGTCTTTAATGTATAAAACATTAAAAGTCTTTGCTGTTTTTCTTTTTTTTTTTTTTTTTCGGGGACTTTTATTTTCTCTGACCTGTGGTTTGTTCCTTTCAGGCACTTGGATCACAATGAGCTCACGTCCATACCAGATTTAGGACAGGCTGCTTCCAAAATAACATCCCTCTACCTGTGAGTACTGCCCTGATTTCTGCTTGAAATGCTACCAGGAAAATATTTTCTTCCACTGTATTCATAAGCCATTAGTCTAGAGATTCCTCCGGATCTCAGACGTCACATCCATTTAACATGAAGGTTATTATTAATGTAACCCGGCTGCACCAAAGAGGATCAAAAACCCATTTCTCTTTTGAGCCCTGTTGCCGTCAATAAGGAGTCCTGTCTTGAGAGATTAGCACACGGTTAAGCAAGCGACGGCTCTTATTAGCCGGCTATGTGGTCCTGTCCACAGCGAGCTGCCGCTGCCTGTTTGGAGTGTCAGCTCGTATATGGATTCAACTCTGTTGCTCTCGGTTGTGAAACCGTGCCTGTTGGGGACTGCCTGCGCTGGCATCTCACTGGAGATTTACTGCCGTATTTGGGAAGGGCGTGTTTGCGCTTGTGTGTGTCACAAATGTGAGCTCAGCAGTCTATCAGCAGCTTGACAATTTATTTTTTTCTCCCCTCCAGCTTAGTCGAAACACTCATGTGATGTGGTCAGGTAACAACAAGTGAAGAGAGAGGAAACTGCTCACAAATTTCATGTTTTTGTGAGCAAGTTATAAAAAATGCGATTGTGATTAATATTGGCTGATTTACTGCATAACTGGATCAAACCGGATACCAGCTGGATAACACCTTAAAAATCAGATGGTTCAAATTGTACCTAAAGCCAAGTAACTGAGAGAAGAAGATTAAAAGTGAGCCAATTTTGGTGAGGTTTAAGGAAACTTCTCTTTTGTTTACCAGATGTTTCTGCCTAAAGAGAGCAAGAGTTTGAGCAGACAACAGGGAAGGCTTGAGATGGAGTTTCAGTTTTATCCTTTCCAGCCACGAGAAAAGGTTGAAATCTAGACAAGTCATTTTTTGTTAAAATAAGTGCATTTCTTCTTGAATTGAGGAGGTTAAAGAGACATTTTGCCAATGGAACAAGACAATTTACATTTGAGAAAACACAATTGCATTGTCTTATTTGAAGTGCATGTTATCTAAATATCTTATTATAGGAGTAAAGATAGGCATTCCGGTGGCAAACTCCTTTACCTACTCAAATTAAGGATAAATACATTTAGTTTAAGAAATGTTTACTTGTTTCTAAATCGTTTTCCAGTATCCTCTAATAATAAACAAGCTGGGAATACACACTGTTTACTGCTAATAATGCTAACTATGCTAAGCTCAGATGTAAAATCTTTGAAATTTGCCTTTTTTTAGTTTAGATAATTAGCTAATGATGGATGTGATGGAATAGGTGTTTAATTTCTCATGTTGCTGTAGAATCAGATAAAACATAGGATCGACATAAGAGGAGATCAGAAACTGTCCACAAAAATCTGCCCAGCCACAAAGAAATATTATATTGAGTTCCACACATTAGCATGTTCCCTTCCCTCACAGTAGAAAATGAACTGGAGCTCATTCAGCGGTAGCCGTTAGCTTTCCCGTTTAGCTTCTTTCACAGCGGCCGCCCGCTCGCTAGTGAAGCGCACAGCTGCTGCGTCGTGTCATGTTTGCTCATTGGCGTATCATTTTTCGGCGGCGAGCTTTTGTGGGAGTCACACACTCGCCTCTCCCTTGTGTGTCATCCGCCTGCTTCTCAGAATTCATCGTGATGCACCGATGTGGTCAGAATATTTCTGTGAGCTGTACATGGTTTATAGGAAGGAAGGGAGTTTGATTAGGCAACACTGACTGTTATACTACCCAAAAATGAGTTTCCTCTCTATCCCCTGTTTTAGTTTTAGGTAGATGTTGGTGCGTGTTGTTTAATTTTCTGTCAGTCCTTTTTTTTCCCCCTCCTGATCCAAAACAGATTGGAGCAAGTTCACCTTTACTTCCCCACTGACTGGAAAGTGGAGGCTCATCCAAATGAGCCGGGCTGTCTTTTTTTGGCCCTGACTTGAAGCCTGTTGCTGGGGAGGAAGGGCTGCTGTCCTGATGGGAGTGGAGGCTGGAGGGAGGGTCAGATTTTTACAAAGCTACGCAGCCGGCCAGAGCGAGGGCCCGCTGAAGCACTTGCAGCTGCAGCTGTCAGTCACATGGCTTTCAGTAAAACGGGTAACACGGCGCAGGGGAGGAAAGGATGAGAAAACGTGGTGGGAGCGAGGGATGAGGGATTTGAACAGTGTCAGATCAGGGTGACATCATAACGTGTCGAAAGAGGCGAGATTAGGGGAAGCGCTGAGGTAGTCTGTGGGAGGGTACAGGGAGCCAAATGAATGGAGGAGAAAAAGGCAGTGGGGAGCGAAACCAGGGTCAGCCATATTCCTAAACCTGAATCCAGTGCAAACTAGTTTGGAGCTATATAAACCGACGGGGGTGAGGGTGTGTTTGTGAGCTGGCAGCGTCTTTGCCACCGGCTGGAGGCTGTCTGGAATGCCGTCTGACTGCAAGTCTGTGTGAGACGGCGGTTGACACACATGCGACAAAAATGACAGAAAAATCCTGTCTTCAGACAAATTCATCAAATGGTAACCGCTCCAAAAGACTGGGAGCCGCACATATATGGATGCTGACGTCTGCCGAGGCTCACAGCCTGTCTGTTTGGAACGGTGGGATGTTCACTGGAGCCTTTGTCATGCAACCCACTTCAGGAAAGGAAAACTGACCGTTTCACTTTTTTTTCCAGCCTTCCTTTTAACAGGGAAGCATTTAATGCTTAACTACTCCTGTCTTTGGCCTTGGCCCTATGCTTTTCTTGTGTGATATTAGCTCCATAAGCACTCTTTTATCCTGCTGACTGGCGGTTTGCACCAACAGATTGGAGATGGGGCAACTTTGCATTAGTCGGATTCATAAAGGCGACATGTTGTTCAAAGGACTTGAACCTTAGAAATGTTGTCAAATTTAGCTGCTTTTGAAGCCGTAGCATTGTAGAGCCCTGAAACTGGTAAACATCCCATTGCCAGTCTGAACACAGATCCAGAAAACGACCAACACATTGACTTGATTGAGGAACTAAGTCTGCGCCGTCTAAACAGCAGAGGCCAGGCTCCCACAGTTCCAACAATGCATTTGGCAGGCCTGTTGAAGCCCTGCAGAGTCCCAGAATGTGACAGCAGGGTGGCAAAGAAAGAAAAAAAACGAGAGAGAAGTTTTTAAAAAGAGTGTTTCAAAGTGATGATCAGTGCCTGATCAGCGTGGGATAGAAATCGGCCCCCAGGATGATCAGGGTTTTAAATAACACTCCTTTTTTTTTCTGTAGTCGTCCAAACAGCCGACATTTAAGTTGACAGCTGTGGTGTAACGGGGTCCCTCGCTTTAAAAAAAGAGGGTCGGAATGAGCGAACAGTGGGACAGGTCATGGAATTTACTGCGAATAAAATCCTCAGACATTATAGAGAAGGAGAGACCTCTTTACCAGAGACGTCAGCGGCCGGATGAGAATCGGTTTCTGTAAACACGCCCATTGTACCGCGGAGGACTTCAAACGCGTTCGGTGCGCAAGCTTCATCTGTCCCCATCACACAGCTGGGAACCAAGAGAGAGCTCAGAGTTTGAGACCAATCTGTTTTTCCCAGCAAGAGGTCACCAGCTGTTGACCCCACCTCACCCCTTCATCTCCCCCCTTGCTCCTCCCACACCCTTTCTTTTTTCCCTCTTTTCTGTGCTGCGTTTGCTCACTGTAGCCACTGTCTGTGCCTCTGTCCCCTGTGAGGATCTGTGTGCTCATCCTTAACCATTTCTGCTGCTGTTTATTCAGGTGGGCCACTGTGGTGTGCCCCACCCACCCTCCTCAGAGACACCAGAAAGTGTGTGTGTGTGTGTGTGTTGATCTGCTGGTGCAGAGCCAGACAGGAAGTAGGGACTGGCTTTGTTTTTATGAGGGTTTCTCATGGAGCACCTGCTCTCTCTCTCTCCTGCATTTTGACGCACAACCTTGCTCACACCGAGCATGATAAAGTCCCTGAAATAATTTTATTCTGCCACGTCTTTTTCCTTTTTATTACCTCTTTTTTCCTTTTTATTACCTGTGGAATTTGCCTTTTTCCAAAACAGACTTTCCTAAAAAGCAGAAAGATAACAAAACACAGATAAAAAGAAAAATGCACAAAAAGTGAAACGGACTGTATAATTTTAGCCTGTTTTTTCCTCATTTAGACACATTACAAAAACAAACCCGATGTGTTTTGAAGAGCTTGTAGATGAAAGTCCAACACAATGTAACACATTATTTTGAAGAAAAGGGAAAATGGAGACTGTTGGTATTTTCTTAGAGACTTGTTTACTTCATCCTGCCAGAATCTGTCGATAGCTATCAGCTGATGGCTCCTAAAATCTGCTCTTTATGGAAGATGGAAAAGAGTTTAGCTTTGAGAGATTTGCAATTTACAAACACATGGAAGAAGATTTCCTGCTTGGATCAGATCAAAAGGAAGATATTTTTTTTCATCAAATATGCAAAATGAAAGCAGGCAGAAAACTAACCTAAAACAAGGTGATGGTTGCATGCTACTGCGGGATTACCTTCATTCACAGGTTTACATAGAAAAAAGGGGAAGGAAGATTTCGAATTCAGCAGGAGAAAATAGAATTTATAACCTACAAGTGATTGATTATCGGGCTGCATGATTTGATCCAATAATCCAGTTTGTTTTTTATGAAGATCTCGTTTTTGAAGTGTTTTTTTTTTTGACTCCTTAGGCTTCTGTAGTTCAGAGTTACAACAGCATGTCTCTTTCGGTTCTAAGAAGTTTATTTAAAATTTATAAACTAGCTTACTGGGTAATACGGGGAGCTGCAAACATGTTTGTTATACTTTCATTGTTTACAATCCAGCGTGAGACAAGTTGTTTCACAAGCATGAATCACTGCTTGTGTTTTAGTCGCACTATGAGTTTAGGTCAACTGAAATAACTTTTTTAATTTATTTTATTTATTTTTTTATGTTTTTATTAAACTAAAGGGATTAAAAAATACAATAATCAAAGATTTTATTCAGGGTTTTATCAATAATGTTGGAGCAACAATTCACTATCCTCCCCCTTATTTTGCTGCACTAATCTCATACTTTGGGGATTTTAAAAGATCCATTTTCAAAACAAAGTAGGGAACTTTTGTTGCACACTTTCTGCTATTTTCATTTCTTTTTAGGCAAGGCATCCTGAAAGGGATTCTCAGCCCTATTTAAAACCTAGTTGTGTGTTGACCTGTGTGCTTCACCCTGCGGAGGACTTTCATCCTCACTGCTGTCACACAGGCTGGTGGTCTTCTAACAAGTACCTCCAAACAGTGAGACAAAGGGCTGTCAAACATGCCCATGTCTCTGGTGTAAAGCATCCACAGTGTGAGAAAACCTGCAGCAGGTCGGGCAGAAAGAAAGGCATAAACCTTTAGCTTCTATGTCACCTCCATTCAGAGACGCGCTGCCATCACTGCGTCTCTCCTCACAGTCGGTGACGGCCTCTTTGTCCTTCCGGTTGTTTACAGAAGGCCTGCTTCTGTTTGGGAGCTCTTAAAGAAGACACTTTGTGGTGGATAAAGACCACTTTGTTCTGTGTACTTTGCTCTCGCTGTGCCTAAGTGGACTTAAAGAAGTCAGAGTGGATTTGGACCCCTCCCCTTTCCCTGATTGATAAACTGTACGCTGAGGCGAAGCAAAGACATTTCCAAACACACCTCATGTTAAATATTTTTCCTTTTTGTTTTCAGGCATCATAATAAGATCCGCAATATAGATGGCAGACGAACCATAGAGCTGGTTTCTGTGGAAAAGCTGGACCTGAGCAATAATGACATCACTGATCTGCGAGAGGACGGCTTTCCCGCCGGACTTCGCATCAGAGACCTGTAAGTACCTCAGGAGGCGGATGTTTACATTTTTGTGTTAATCTCTACTCAAAATAACTTCTAAGAAGTAAGAATTGCTTTGTTGTAAATGGTGTGTGTTGACGCTGCAGTTAGAATTTTTTTTTTCTTCTTTCTTTTTCAGATACCTCAGCAACAACAAGATCAGCACACTGGAAGTTGGAGCGCTGGACCGTCTGGGCTCAACTCTGCAGGTTTTGCGCCTGAGCCGAAACCGAATAAGCCAGATCCCGATCCGAGCCTTCCAGCTTCCAAGGCTCATCCAGCTGTGAGTGCCGCTCTCTTTTATGGCTTTGGGTCTCAGTCAGTGTGACCAGTTCACCTCAACAGTAGAATGGAGGCTGGAAATGAATGGTTTTCCCCTGTCTTTCCTTTTCAGAGTTAATAGAATTGAAAGGATTTAGGAGTTTAGATGAGGAGTTGGTTTCCTGGTGTCTGTTGATCTGGCTCTGTGTGTTTTAACATTAAGAACACCGTTAGTGTGAGCTATACCTCCAGGGGTGGATAAGGTCTGACAAGGTAAACACCACTGTTGTATTATTAGTGATTTACTGCCTTCCTCCATATCCCCAAAGTGCTTAGTTCAATCCCAGCACCACGGTCCATTATCCTCATCAGTGCAGACCCATTTTGTAGCTCAGCACCTTTTCTTGGGGGAGCAGAGCCGTTTGTGTAATTGGAGTACGGTTCTCCAGGTGCCTTTTGTTGAGCAGGTGGTCCCGTAGACAGCATACCTGTAACTGCTAGGGGCGACGTACTTTAGACATTAAAGAAACCGTGTGGAGGAAACTACATCTGCTTTATGCACCCTATTCCTTTTGATAATAAGCTTTATTGTTGGTTGCTTTTTTCCTCCTACAGAGAGCTGAACAGGAACCGTATCCTTCAGATCGAGGGCCTAACCTTCCAGGGACTGTCCAGCTTGGAGGTGCTGAAGTTGCAAAGAAACAGCATCAGTAAACTGACTGATGGAGCCTTCTGGAATCTGTCCAAGATGAAAGTCCTGTACGTAAAAAAATGTCGGATTAGAAATGTCGCTGAAACCTGTGTTAAAAAAAACACCAAAGGGGGGTTTTTACTCAGCACTGTTGAAGAATGTTCAAAAAGATGCCAGTTACTCTAAAGCTACGTTCACACTGCAGCCTGAGGTCCGTTTTCTTTTATTTGCCAATATGCAACCTGTATCTGATCTCTTCAAGGCAGTCTGAATAACAGAGGTCTAAACTTTTCAAACATGATCCACGTCCGTCTTTATAGCCAGATCACAATCATCCAACCTGTATGTCATTAATTCTCGACAAAAGTCAGCGTTCTACGTCCTGCTGAACGGAAGATGGAAGAAAAACAACTGTGTCGGACGATAATAAGGAAAGCAGTCTTTCTTTTTTTTTATCTGTCTAAAAGGATCTTCCTTGTTGATGTGCTGGCTCCGGCTGGAAAAGAAAACAAAGATCGCAAGATGCGCTGAAACAATTAATTAATCATGATTCATTGATTATTTGAATAACTGTCAACTGATTTAGTAATCGATTTATCGTTAACTGTAGATTAGACCCCCAAAACATAACATTTGTTGAAAGAGCAACACGCTTAGATCAGTTATTATACCAAAGTTGTAAAGAATTTTACAAACATTTTTGCTTTGAAGATGAAAAACCTTCAAACACTCTAAAACTTGAGTGGCTTAGCTTTAGCTTCACCTCGTTTACATTCTCAAGGAACCGTTTTCCATCCTATTACTAATTTATTATTAGAAAAAAATAAATGACAGATTATTCGCTTAGCAAAATGGCGCTAGCTCCAATTTCTACCATCCTTGTTAATTTCCGTGGACACAGAGCACGCTCCCTACTGGTTACCGCGTTGCGCTCTTCATGCAGGACATTTCAGTTGTGGATACAGTTCAAACAGATCACATACAAGTTGCATATATATGGAAATCTTAACGACTTCAAAGAATTGAGCATTAAGGCCTGCAGTGTATCCTCTGTATCCAAATTGCATGAAGATAAACTACAGTTTAATTCCCTTATTTTTTTGCTTCACAGACATTAAATTAAGGAAACTTAAAACATTTTTGAAATTATTCAAAGCGAAGTGGTCTTTGCCACAAACGACATAGATGTGGGGGTGTTGGCTCAGATAGAATATGTAGCAGAAAGTTATATCATTCCTGCTGGAGAGCAAATACTTTCTGCTTTTGTATTTTTCCTTAAAGGAAGTGTTTTCTCTTGCAGCCACCTGGAGTACAACAACCTGACTGAGGTGAACAGCGGCTCCTTGTATGGCCTCAGCTCCCTCACACAGCTCTTCCTCAGCAATAACTCCATAGCCCGCATCAACCCTGATGGCTGGAAGTTCTGCCAGAGGCTGAGGGAACTGTGAGTACCTCCCTGACGTAGAGCTTCAGTGTTTAGATGGCGATTGTTCACCCTTAGGTGCTTTAGTGGGTTTCAGTAACCCAACTCTCTCCGTCAGCCTTCGTTGTGGGTTAAATGACATTTTGCTTTAACACTCTATCCGCTACGCCATTCTCAGGATAAGCCTGTTTATCCCATAATTAGAGCTGGGCTCAACGGTGCACAAGCCCTTCGACAAGAGTTTTTGTCCCGGTCTGTGAAGCCTGAGGTTTTGGCAAACGGCCGTGTAATCCTCCACTGTTTGTGTTGTGGTAATTACACCAGAGGATCACCTCCTCATCCTTTGTCTACTGAGTTATTATCTGCAAGTCTCTCCCCTGTGTTGTTGACATGAGTGTCGTAATGCTGCTTTAAAGCCGTCGCTAACCGTGAGGTAGCCCTGGTTATCTGTGGCGCCTCTGCTTGTTTACGTGCTGCAGTCTGAGGGGATTAAGTGGTGGACGGCATACATTCGCGTTTGCTCTGTGTATCTCAGTGCTGCTTCCTGTGTGCACATCTTATGAATGGCAGATTGCTTCCCGAACACAGCGGTCCCCGTTCGCATGGATTTATTATCCATAGAGCTATGATGACCGCAGCGGACGGTGAGGCGGTTGGCCCGTCTTTATGAGGAGCTTGTTATTGCATTCCCACTGCGCCTGGCTGAGCTGGTCATTGGGGGGGAATCTCTGCACACATGACTGGTCAAGCAGACCTGAAGCCTGGTTGCAGAGATCGACACAGAAGAGGCCAATAAAATACTATGTTTGAGCATTGGAAAGTTCCTGCTTCAGGATTTATGATCATTAAGAAGCTAAAGGCTAATATGTTAAAAGAGGAGATCAGGGGACCATTTTTACTAGAATGAAATAAAGTCTATAAAAGTCAGATTTTTATTGGTTTTCAGATCTTTTTATTTCGCCCTTTATTTAAATGTGGTTCTGGGTCCTCTAATATTTAAACTTTTTTATTCAAAATTAAATGCAGTAAAGACTAAAGACTGACCATTTTCTTATCTAAGGTTGAATTAGATCTGTTGTTCAACTGAGTCTGTTAAAATACAAATAAAAAAAGAAAACAACAGCTATTTTTTTTTTAATTAATATTTTTTTTAATTAGCACAATGTAATCTGATTTGCAAGCCCCCATACCTGGTTCACATTGCGAAAGTTCACAATCAATGGCTGATTGTGGGGAAAAAGGTAGATGTTACAGGTTCGGTCCTGCTGGGTGGTGTACTGCCACACAGAAAGAGCAACACGTGAACAGAGGTCAGGGGTAAATATTAACATCGATTCGGCCATTTTTTGTCTGTATTAGTAGAACTGGGCTGATTTTTAGGGGCGATGTTCGTTTCCATCCAGTTACTGTTTTTATTTCAGGTGAGGGAGGAGGGCGGTTTGGTCATGTGACAGTTATGGTAATGTAGCAAAGGATTGTGGGTGGTTATATGAAGCAGACCAGCATTGTCAGCAACGTGGTCAAGTTTCATGGTGCCAGAAAGAATAATTGGCAATCGGCCATGACGACTATATAATTATTGAGTATTGATATCTGGGAAACCTGAACAGAATTCGCTGAGGAAAAATTCAAATGTCAGGAAATCTCACTAACCATCCCCAGACATGAGTTCAGGGTAAATAGATGAACAGGCAATGGTGGTTTTTACATGGGAAAATTATAAACGCAGTGGAGCAGCTCTACTCTCAAAATATGACACAAGTCAATTATCCTCTTTCTGATTGGCTAAACATCATGCTGAGGGACACTACATGTTGGATGATAACAGCCAAGACAATCCAACAGAGCAGATCCCTCCTAATATACGCAGCAGGACTATGTCTTAAGATCATCTTTAGAGCATCACGGTAATCGGTGCGTCTCACAAAGGGAAGATCCATTATTCGGTTTCTTAAAATCAGAAACAGGACCTGTGTAAAACTTTTTTTCCACCCCAGTTTTTTTATGCTTCCATCTATTATATAATCAGAAGGTAATACCTGAGAGAAGCCAGGAAAAAACTTGTCTGTGTGTCTTTTTCTTAAAAAAAAAGGCTGAAAGCAGCTGGATTTCTGTGAATCTTTAATCAGGGTAAACTAATGACACATTCAGCTGGTTTATAATATCCTTACCAGAACTGTTTCTCCACGGCTAAATGAATGGATCTCAGCTCTGCTTTGTCATCTGCTGGATCTGTTAAAACTTACATTAGGAAAAAAAAGACCTCATAAGTCTGTTTCTCTATGCCCCATCCCCTCTTCCTCTGTCCAGGAATCTGTCCTACAACAACCTGACCCGTCTGGACGAGGGGAGTCTGGCTGTGCTGGGGGAGCTGCACTCGCTGCGGCTGGGCCACAACGCCATCAGCCACATTGACGAGGGAGCCTTCAGGGGCCTGAAGGCCCTAAGAGTCCTGTAAGTCCACCACTCTGAGACTTTATGACCAATCCCCTCTCATTGACATTAGGCCCCTGCTGGAGATAAGGTCAGAGGTTCCACTGAAAGCTGAGCTGGTAAATATTGGTGTTGCCTGAGTGAGATTTGATATTTATGCTCAAGTAGTTCCTTAACGTGCCTTTCCAGAGCCTGCCATTAGCATTCATGTATAGTCCTGTTGCTTCTAGAACCTGAGGATAAATAAAACTTTTCTGTTGCTTCCAGCTTTTCCATTAACAGCCTAAATAAAATAAAGGGATAGGAAAAAAAAAACAGTTGTTGGATAAATCCCTTAAAGCCTTTTGGGTCTTGGGAAGAAGAAGGAAAAAAAACTGACAGTAGAGCCAGATCTTCATAAAGCAGATCTCAGAACAGGCTGATGAGCCAAGGCACACACATCCGACACACTTGGGGAGGCTTGTTTACTGGCCACAGAGGAAAGAGACTAGCACTTTGGATGAGTTTTCATTTCTGCTGCTTTATCTCCTCATCCCCCTTTTTTCCTTTTATTTTTACCGTCTGCTTTTGCTGTCATCCCTGCATGTCGCCTTATAACCAACACCTCCTATGCCTCGTTAAAGTATTCAAACCCCTTAGATTTTTTCATCTTACAGCCACAAACTCCAATATGTACATTTCTGGGTTTTTTTTATAGAGTAATTTTCTTGTCTAAACCTTTGCCCCAGTGTCTGTTGAGGCAGGTCTAATCTAATCAGGGCAGGGGAGAGCAGGCATAGGCAGGACCCTCAAAAAGAGCTGGGGGAGCTTTAATTGGGGATGTGCTGCTGGTTGTGCTGGCATGGGGCTGGAGCCTACATCAGGGTGTGAAGCTCCAAACAAACCAGCCTGCCCTCTAATTCGAAGGCTCATCTCCCCCACCCCCCTCCGCTTTTGCATCTCCCTCAGCTCCATGGCTGCTCATCCATCCACCCCTGGCTTTGCTTTAACGAGGCAGTGGCGATTCAAATCCAGCCAGCCAGAAAGTGTAGGAAATTGGCAGGCCCATTGGAGCCCCATAGCAAAGACAGCAGCCAGCAGAGACTGAAAAGGAGCGGAGGGGATACAAAAGATGCTTGGAAGGTGCAGGGAGGAGGAGGTGCAGCTGACCATCAACCTGAAAGGGTTTCCTTAGGTTTGGAGGAAGGTCTTTTGTTGATTCAGAGGAGTTCACAGAACCGGAGGGTTTTTTCTTTTTGATCTACATGCAGAAGGGTTAGCAGTGGCGTCAGCACAGCTATGACTTCAGCTTGCATTCACAAACTCCCAATACGCTTTTTATACCCATTGGTTCTCTTCTCTATCTGCCTGACCATGGCAAAGCTTTGGCCTTGGATGTTCCCTACCCGTTGACCCCTCCAGCTCCAACCAGGCATTATGCTCTCGCCCAGCCCCATGCATCATGCATTTGTTTCCCTGCACAGGGGGGCTCGCGTCCCTACACTCACTCGCATGGCTCACTCCTCCACCCCTCTTGAAGGAAAGAATGCGCTCGGTTGGCACAGCAGAGCAGCAGAGGGGCTTTTTCAGGCCAGGTGCAGATGGGGGAGGGTTGGAGCGTGGGCGAACTGGCAGCCCATGACTTCAGGGCCAGCTCTGCCAGGGCTGGGAAAGTTTGGTCCTTCTTATCCTCTTCTCTTCTCTGCAGGGAGCTGGACCATAACGACATCTCTGGCACAATAGAGGACACCAATGGGGCCTTCGCTGGATTGGACAAGCTCAATAAGCTGTGAGTGTCTTCCACTCGTTCATTTGTTATTCCCCCTCCTCAGACACCCTCACAATCTAACAGCCGGTTATGGCCTGGTTCTTAGAAAACAGTTTCCGATTAGATCAAACGTTTCCAGCCGGGTCCTTATCTACTTTTCACTGGCAGCCAAGGTTTTAAGGAGGCCATTAGAGACATTGGCTATAGAAGCATAGTAAGGTTTGGCTTCTTTCTCAGTGAATCAGGGATGGAGGGACGTCCAGGTGATTGTAAAGCAATGCTGTTACCTCTTTAGATTCAGCACTCTGGTTGACGGCTGCAGGACGTTAATCCTCAACAATTTCTTCCTCTTCATCCTTTAGTCTCCATCTGATAATTAGCTCCTTGTTCGGGTAAAGCTGGAACAGAATAATCACAGGATGTTGTTGGCCTCAGTGCCTCGCCCCATGTAGCTCTGATCCTCAGGAGCCTTTCAGCTTTTAGGTGTGAATCTTTTTAATGATTGGCTTTATGGCGAGACAGAGGAAGAAGATAGTTCAACAAACATTAAGTACATGTAACCTGGTGTTTCCAACCTTTGCTTAAAGGTCAGCTTTATTTCTTCCCCTAAATCTCTATTATCTTAGAATCAATCAAGCCAAGCGGCACTTGTGTCTGTGAAGTTAGCGATTTGTGAAATTGGAGCTAGAGGGGAAGTTTTAGTGGCTATGAGCGGCAATCATCAACCTGCAGGATGAAAAGACGACGTCCAGCCAAGATGGTTCCCAGTGTGAGAGAGGCCGAGAGAAAGAGCCCAAGAAAGTAGGAGAGAAAAGGCTTTTCTTTGAGCTGGTGGGGGGTTCTCTCCCCAAAAGGCTTATTTCTATTTCTGCTTCATGCCTCAGCTCCTTTCAACCCCCCCAATTCCCACTGTCTGTTGTTGGAAGCTGAGAGAGGGTGAAATTGAGGGCCGTATTCAGTCATCAAACATCAAACGCCTCTCCTGCCCCACCCTCTGACCCTGCCCCCTTTTATTTAGTTTTTTTTTTTTTTTTGTCATGACGGAAGCAGTCCCCTGCATCCCAAAGCTTTCAAGGCGAGCCATGGGAAAAAGAAAATGTAGAAGGAGGAGGACTTCAAGTGTCCAGCAAAGTCTGATCCTGTCACGTTCAAACCAATAACTTCAGTTTATTTGATAAGAATTTGATCAGACAGATGGACATAGAGCGGACAATAACTCCAGAAGAAGGGGAATACTATGTTGCACTTTTAAGCTGGTGTTCAGTGGAGATGTTGGCTGATGGTGGGTTTATAAAGCTGTTAGCTGGTCACTGTTGTGATTGGCTGCTTTTAGTGTGTGTGAATGAGCTTGAACTCCTGTCCCTGGTGAAGCTGATCTCCATTTAACCTCGGGAAAAAAACAGTGCTACACTCAAACACACACATCAGCACCTGGTTGTTGCTATTTTACTCTAATAAAGATAAAATTAGTCCTTTAGCCCTATTTCTTTACACTCACCCTTCCTCCTTGATAATCTCAACCCAGTTCAGATTTCCAATACCCCAATCCCTTTTTCCTCTTATCAGATTCAGCCTTGCTAATTGTGCTCCCCCCCTTCTTTTTTCTCTCCCTCCATCAATCGGCGCCCTGCATGTTTTTTTGACGGCAGGACTCTGTTTGGAAACAAGATCAAATCTGTGGCCAAGAAAGCCTTCGCCGGCCTTGAGACCCTGGAACACCTGTGAGTATCCCACAGCAGAGCGATGGGGAGGGAGACAGCTGGGTGTAAAGACTGGGGTGGGTCTGAGGTTGCCCTTAAAGTAATGGCAGAAAGGCGGTTGCTGCAATTTAATAGGATCTTTGTAAAAGGAGAAGACGAAGCATCCAGCTGCCTCTCTCTCTCTCAGAACTCCCCTCCTGCTTTATTAAGCACATGGTGAGCTGTGGTGTAGAAATGTAGTCGCTATAAGATTATTTTTTTCACTCCTTTTGCTTATTTAAGGTGATTAAAAAAAAGGTTGATATGAAAAACCTTGATATCCCCCCCAGCTTGGTGTAACAGCTGATGTTCTGATTTCTTACATGCCAACAGGAACTTGGGAGAGAACGCGATCCGTTCCATCCAGCCCGATGCTTTCAGCCAGATCAGGAACCTGAAAAGCCTGTGAGTAGCATCTTTGATTTAAACATCATTGACAGTGTCCCACCAACATACTAGAACCACATGTGAAACACCATCTGGGAGTCACGGATGGCTAAGACCTGGAAGAAGAATGACAGTTTTCCAACATTTTGTCTCCAAATTGGGTTTTGTTTTGTTTTTTTGCCTATCTAAAGTCAGTACCATCAACCCACCATACTAAGGATGGATTTTGGTTTGAGTATCACATTAAAAGAGGTTTAAAAAAGGAGACTAAATCCATAATAAAAGTGTAAATATAAGTCCATTTTTCTTTAATTAGTATGGTTCCCTTGATTTGAGCAGGTAAGGCAATTTACCAATGGAATTAAAACGATTAAAATACTGAACAGATCATCTTTATTACTTGCTCAAATAATACATATGCTCGGCTAAGTGTTGTTCTATGATATTAACTCCTAATAATGCGGTTAACGTTTCTGGATGCAACAAGAATCAACAGAGTATATGTTTCTTAGCAAAAATGCCAACAGCAGCGCCTCCTCAAATGCAAAAGGTTTAGCCTGAATAAAAAAAAAAAATTGTCCTTACAGTTTAGAAATGCAGGAGATTTAATCCAGTGTGTTCTTTCTTTGCGTCTAGCCTCATTCAGAGCAACAGTTTCCTCTGTGACTGCCAGCTCCAGTGGTTGCCCCTTTGGCTGCAGTTTCATGGTCTGCAGACAGGTGTAAATGCCACATGTGCCCACCCAGTGAGCCTGCAGGGCACTAGCATATTTGAAGCTCCGCAAAATGGCTTTGTGTGTGGTAAGTCGGGTCAACACTTCTGCTTTTTTTTATCCCACATGCTGCCTTATGTTTCTTAACCTGTGTTGGCGTTAATCTCTTATCCAGATGACCTCCCCAAGCCTCAGATCACAGTCCAGCCGGAGAACACGATGACTGTACTGGGCAGCGATGTGCGTCTCACCTGCAAGGCGGTGAGCAGCAGCTCCTCACCAGTGACTTTCGCCTGGCGCAAAGATCAGGAACTGCTTTCCCACGCGGAGATAGAGAACTTTGCACACCTGCACACCCGCCATCAGGGCGCCACTCCCGACACGTCAGGGATGGGCGGAGGCGTGATGGAGTACACCACCATCCTGCATCTACGGCACGCCACCTTTGCCCATGAGGGCCGTTACCAGTGCATCATCACCAACCACTTTGGCTCCACCTACTCCAACAAGGCTCAAGTTGTTGTCAACGGTATGTCATTAGCAAAATGCTCTGGAAATTTAGCCGTTAGCAGGAAATGGTGAATTTTCAGCCTAATTCTAGATGCCACTGATCCTTTTCCATCGGTTCAGGCATCTAACTGGGTGTCAACAGCTCCCTCTGCTGTGTATTTGGTGTTAAAGCTAGTGGGTGAGAGCAACAATTTCAGGAGGTAACAGGAAGGCTAATTGGACTACTTTGGATTTTAAGCTATCTGCTATGGAATTACAGATCTAGAGACTTCAGCTGATAAAATTACTAACAACCTCCAGAAAATATAAGCAGGAAACCTGCTTATTTGCAGGTTGCAGCAAAATTTTCTGTCACTAGAGATTTCCCACAAGTTAATTATTGGGTCAAATATCTTGTGAATAAAACATTTTCCTGTGAAATTTGCCACTGGGCCATTAGCTAGAACAGTTGTTTGTTGTGAATACAATGAAAACCTGTAAAAAGTGGCCAGCAGCCCCAGTTTTCCAGCCTAATGTTCTCCATCTCCACAGTCCTGCCGTCCTTCCTGAAGACCCCCAGGGACAGCGCCATCCGCACGGGGAACACCGCCAGGTTGGAGTGCGCCGCAGAGGGCCACCCGGCACCCCAGATTGCCTGGCAGAAAGACGGCGGCACGGACTTCCCCGCCGCCCGGGAGCGCCGCATGCACGTGATGCCCGACGACGACGTGTTCTTCATCATGGGTGTGAAGCCCGAGGACATGGGCGTCTACAGCTGCACAGCCAAAAACACGGCGGGCACCGTCTCGGCCAACGCCACCCTCACCGTGCTGGGTAAGAGCCCAGAACCTCCGACCGCGGTCCACACCGGCCACGTTCCCACAGCTGCATGTGGAAATAGCCGGGAGCTCAGCTGGGAATTGGTCAGAATGAGGAGCTTTATATTTTTCTTTTCTCGGCAGCTGCGGCCGTGCTGCAGGTCATGGGCCAGAGGTCGTAGATAGGGGTCAGAGTGGAGTGGGGGGCTCACAGAGGGGTGTTTGTTAGGCATTCCCACCCCTTTCTCTCCTCTCAGAGGGGGGGTCGGTGATGGCTACCTCGCTGCAGGCCTCACTGCTCCAAGTTTATTGGCTGTTTTACACACCAAACTGAAACAAAACAGCTTCTCTGCTCTAACAAACAAAGTTCATCTTTGTCCTTTGTATTCAGGAAGCTCCTTTAAGCACCCCCACCAAATATAAAAAAAAAAATGTTATACATTTATACCTAACACAGGTAGAGTTAGGTTGGTGACGTGTTTGATGCGCAGTTTGAGCTTTTCAAATCCTGCAGCGCAAAAAAAAATGGGAGCTGCTCTGCCCAATCGGTGATGTTTGGGTTTGAGGGGGATGGTGGCTGCAGTGGAGGGGCCCCTGTCTGGAAAAAGAGAGGTGGGTTTGGGCGGTGGGAGGAACAGTGAAGTAGGAGGAGGGGGTTTGGAAGGAAAAAAGAAAAGAGCTGTGGTGGAGAAAGTATAGATAGAGAAGAAAAATGGGGAGGCTGAAGTGGGTTAAGTGAGATCTCTTAATCTGTGTATGTCCCACTGTGAGGGGAAGTGTTGAGTCTGAGAGGCCAACCCACACACACACACACACACACACACACCCACACCCACACACTGATTGATTCAATGCAGTCCATTCTCCAGAATCTCAAGTCGCTCTAACAAACACTGGCAACACTGTTCCCAAGAGGATTCACTGGCAGAACAAATCTTGTTAGTTTGTTGTGATAAAAAGTAACTTGATGCCACAGTTTATCAGCATTTCAGATGTAAGAACGTCATTGTTTAATGAGATGAACCTTCTATGATTCACTGGGAGCCTCTGATTCATACTGGAAGTCTATGGAGCCGCAGCAGAACCTTTAGAGGGTTAATATGTAGGACCATCACATGATCGCTGGTAATGAGGTCAAGAATGTCATGGAAAGGTTGCAGCACCAGAAGAATTTAATGGAAATACAAACATTTCAATGCATTTAAAAAAAGTTTTGTTTTAACAGTTTTCTGGCCAAATTTAGATTTATTTAAGACATTGAACTAGGGCTGCAATTAATGATTATTTTGCAAATCGATCAGTCTCTACATTATTTTTCGATTAACTGATCAATAAACAGATCGCAAAAGGTTCCTTAAAGAAATTATACAGGTGAAACTAAAACTTTTCCACTAGATGGAGCATATTGACAGACGAAAAAGCTCTTTATCATAAATGCCAAATGTTTACTTTTTAAAAAATAATTTTGGTATAACTGCTGCTCTAAGTGGGTCGCTCCATCAGCTAGAGGCATGTTTTAGCGTCTCAATACTCCAGTTAACGATTAATTGATTACCAGATTAGTTGATGATTATTTAAATAATCGATTAATCCGATTGTTTGAACCCTACATTAAACAAAACCCATGAAATAACACTGAAACCTGAACGAATACTTTGAGCTCGAAATGTGGCTGATTTCTGACCTTTGTGGAAACAATAGTAACAATCGTTAACCTTAGTTTAAGGGATCAGAGCTGATCAATTGGTGTAGCTTCAATAGGTTCTGTAGCTATTAGCTAGCTTACTGTAAAATAGTGCCGTTCTTTTGTGGATCAGGTTACTGACAGACACCCATATTTTAGTTTGGTGTGTGAGATCATCGCCCTGCTGGAAGCAAAGTTTCAATCCTCCAGCTGCTGAATGCAGGACAAGTTATTGGTGATGCTGACAATGGAGACAGTGAATCATCCAGTCTTCATCATCAGGGTTCTTACAGTTTATTTTGTTTTTCTTTTTTTTACCTTTTAAAATTTAGAGAAAAAGTGCCTTAAATTTAAACTATATTCCTTATTTCCTCCTGAAACTTAACAGCTTAAAGCATTAAAGCCTCTAAATTCAGTGAAATTGATTATTGCGCCCACCAGCTGTGTAGTGAAAATGTCCTCCTCGTTGACAGAAACGCCCCACCTGGCTCAGGACATGAAGAACCCCAGCGTGGCGGCTGGCGACACGGTGGCGCTGCAGTGTAAAGCCCTTGGTAGCCCGCCGCCGCGTATTACCTGGCTGCATGACGACCGGCCGCTGCCCACCTCCGACCGGCACTTCTTCACCCCCGGCAACCAGCTGCTGGTCATCAACTCCGCCTTGACGAATGACTCCGGCCGCTACACCTGTGTAATGTCCAACAGGCTGGGCACGGCACGCGCCCACAGCCAGCTGGTGGTGACCGAGCGCGGCTCGTGCTTGAGCACCATTGGCATCATTGTCATCGCCGTGGTTACAAGCATTGTGGTGACATCCTTGGTGTGGGTCTGCATCATTTATCAGACGAGGAAGAAGAGCGAGGAGTGCAGCGTGACCAACACGGGTATGTCTAGAACCACAGAGATGTTCTAGGAAGGTTCTGCTTTGATGTCTCACACTCTTTTCATCTCTTGCAGACGAGACGATTGTCCCTCCAGATGTCCCCAGCTATCTGTCCTCTCAGGGCACTCTGTCCGAGCGGCAGGACGTGTGTATCCGTGTGGAAGCTGGAAGCGGACCTCAGCCCAACGGGCACGTTTTAGACACCTCAGGTACCAGTCCTCGTTCCTTCTCCAGAAATTAGTTCTGCCAGCAGCTTTTAACGTATATGAAAACCTTCGTCAATTATAAATAACCTCTGCTTACGCTCTCATAGCAGTGGCGATTATCTACCGCCTGCAAATGATTAACCTCCCTCCTCCGCTGCAGGGTTTGACGGAGCTGTGGTTTGTGCGAACTGCATGGAGACCGGCAACAGCTACTCCACCGACACAGACTACCTGGCCCACGGATTCGACCTCGCTCACGCCGGCGAGTACCAACAGGAGCAGCTAGCCCCGCCGCCGTACTCTCAGTGTAACCAGGCAAACGACGGGTCCCTCTGCAACGGCACACCCTGCAGTATGCGAAAGGACCCGCAAGGATCTGACTTTCCCAAAAATCACAACACGATAGAGCGAAGTCAGGATGACAGAACAGGTTGGTGGAAAAAAGTGCAAACAGTAACTCAGAAATTTCACAGGAACATCAATCTGATCAATCATTTTATCAACCTCACAGAATAATAAATAAATATATTTATATTATATTACTTATAGTTCTTGTTATTAACCTTCCCCTTGCTTTGTGTCCTTTACCCTCCAGCAAGCAGAAGGGGAGCGACGCCGGCGGGCTGCCCGTCGCAGGATGACTCCTTCCATGAGCCGGTGAAGCTGGCCGGCGGGACAAACTACGGACGCTTGGACACTGACTGTGAGCCTGAGCTCAGGCAGACTCTGCTGCCAAACGGACACGCCCTCAGAGCCTCTCAGAGTGGGAGCGCCCCTCTAAGGAGATCGAGCGACTAGCGGGACACTGAATCAAGCTTTGAATTCTTTCTTTGCACTGGGAAATAAACTGCTACCTCACATGGAGGGGGACGATCCAGAGCCTCCCGCGTCCGGACCGACACCCGGACGGGACAAATATACGTTCGTCGTTGAAAGGGAGAGTCGGGAGTTCAAAGAGGAAGCTTGTGTGGGTGGCGCCCCACCTGAGCGTATCAGTTGTATATAGTTTAAAACCTTCCTCTGGGAGGAGACCAGTTTAAAGAAAGAACTTTAGTACCCAAAAAAAAAAGGAAATAAATGTGACTTGCATTTGAAGCATGCAAATATAGGGAATCTTGTACAGTGTAATTATGTGCAGTAGGAAAAAAGAGAAATATAAGAGGGACTTTTGACTGTACATAAGAGTTTTCTTTAATATTATATAAGTTTTACAAAAGAGTGTTGGAATATCCGTGCATGGCAAAGAAAGAAGTGATATTTTTATTGTTCTTAGGGAGAAAAACGCCTTTTTCAGCTTTCACCAACATCCAGCTGCAGTGCCTTATTGCATGATCAAAGAAAACTCAACCTGTGATTCTTATTTTGTTTTTTGTGAAAGATACAGGTACACATTTTTTTTTATAGCAAAACACTTGGTTGCACTTGATCTTTTTCTTTCTTTAGACAAATGCTGCCAGCTATGGCCTTACAGAAACGTAATTCACCTGCATTGTCGCAGAATGAAGAAGGAGACTTGATGTGAAATATTTTTGGTATGTTTGTGGGCGGTCAGCTCAAGCACTTTTTATACTCTTCATTAACAGATTGCGCATTAACATCCTCTGCTAACAGGAGTCCCTCCACCTGGGTGAGACTGCAAGTTAAAGTAAGGGGGTGACGTCACCAAGTTTGAGATAAAGTATGATTTATTTTCCAAATGGATTCAAACAGCCACCAAGGTGTCCTCCTTTCAGTTTCCTTCGTCAGTAACCACTTCCACACCGAAGAGCGTGGATATGTAAGCTTTAGGGAGAACAAAGTTAGTTACTGCTGTAATCCTCCACAAACATCCACTGGTGTTCATTTTGAAGCAGATAAAGGCCAGTAGTCCCGCAGGGCTCCGTCCCTGCAGCTCTGTCTGGAACGGTTGGGAAGCTTGTGCTCCAACCAAACCAGGATCAATGCAGTCATGCAGGTCCCCGGATACATGGGGTCACATTCAGTCAAAGTGGTTAGTTTCAGTACCAGAGGTAAGGTGGAGGACATCCTCCTCCAGTTACGCCTTTCAGAGTTGTCCTTACCTGTGAGACCACTGGTGTAGCGCCTTAAAGGGACAGGAGGGAAACGAGGTGCGGCTCGTGTTGGGAGACTAATTTATTGAAGCAAAGCGTCTGTACCGATGTTAAAAGCTGAAACAGTGAAGTGTCTAACATGGCATTGAAGTGTCTAATAAAAAATCACATTTTGCTACGATCATCAGTGTTGTGCCTGTTTCTGTTGCCACATTGCGATGTGCATCTTCAAAGATTGTAGCTTCTGCTCCAGGATCCAGGTTCCCATTAAGCTGGAGCTCAAAAGACAGCAGCAGTTCTGACTGGAGGCCGACTCCAGGGTCAGGATGTGGATTCCAGACGGATGTTTGACTTCAGGTGACTGACGTGCTCCTGGCTGCAGCCTCCACCAATCACACACCTGCCACTATAATTCAGTGACACACAGCGTGACTTAGTCCCACCTGTGAGACCATTCGTCTTCGCTTTCCCATTAGCTTTCTCTACACTGAATCCTAAAGGAGAGAGCAAACAATCTCTCACTACAGCTCCATATATAACTAATTCCACTGCCTGATACAGAGAAGTCATTTGGTTTGTCAAACTGTAGGGTGCACAAAGCAAACTCTTCAATCCTCTGATCAGATCTCAGCCTGAAAAACTGCCTTTGTTTGGTTTAGTTTATGACTATACATCTTGCCTTCATCTTCACATCCGCCACTCTAAGGGAAGTGAGTTTGAAAACAGACGCTCTGCTGTAATAAACGATCAAACCTCGAATTAAAGGTGCGTTCAAGATGTGGATCTCAGCAGCCAAATTAAATCAAAGCCATATACCTTCACATAATCCACAAATAGGAAAATATTCTGGAATTTCTTTGTGACCAAGTGGAACCTAGACGCATCTTTCTCTGCAGGAAAATGAGGACTCTAGATTAGATGGAGCATTGACAGCATTGTGGAATGTTGTTCTCCTTCTTAACCATTTCTTTTGTTTTCAGGACTTTTTTAGATAAAGTTTGATTCCTTTCAAACCTGTTAAATCAAGCGCCTGTTTGACCACAGAAAGTGATTTCAAAGAATATGTGGGGTGGGTCGATGAGAAGCTGCCCCCTACAGGAAGCAACAAGTTTGCTGGGGCTGCACATGCAATATAAAGAAAGTCCCACTTTTGCTGTGTTCAAATTCAGTTGCTTCGTTCTCAGAAGGCCGGGTTTGTCGACCGATTATGTCATACCGCCGCGCCGAGGCCTGTTCGGATTGGAAACCTCATTATGCAGCCGACATATACAACCTTCTTTTTGCTCATTTTGAAGGACAGGTGCAATGCATGCTACGTAGCCTTGGGTATCCCATGATTCATTGCAAGTCCGAGCAAGCCGGCTCCTACATGCTCAGAGGAAAAAGTAAATCATCCCAAACAGTGGGGAATATTGTAAGTGCAGTTTAATATAATTATATAATAATGAAAAAAGTTATTGAGTCAGATATGTGGCAGGTAATGGTTGGTTTATTGAAAGGTTTTATCTGTCTCTGTGCAAATAGGTTTGGCTGACATTTAAGCTCAGATTCCAATAGCTCTACATTGTGGGGAGTATAAATCTGATATCTGAGACAACAGTACTGCTGCTAAACTCTTCGAAAATGTAATTAGCCCCCAGAACAGTAGTAAGAAGTTCAGCATCCATATTTTGCTTGGTCTTAAAGTTAAAGGAATAGTACACCCAAAACATGATTAGCCTTCATTTTCTACTCACCCCCATGCTGAACAACACTCTGGAGTACTTTTTTGATATATCAAATGCATCTGGAGATCTGGGAGGCTTCTTGCTGTCTGCTGACATTCAAATAATGGAGGTCTATGGTGCCCGAGACAGACAGGTCCATAAAAGTCCACAAAAAACGTGTCAATATTCCTCCATACTGCTCGTCCAATGTATTCCAAGTGTCCTGAGTGGGTAGCATCCATAATTTACTCGAAACAAAGTCATTTAGAATGTTTTTAGAGCATAAACAGTAGTGTATAGGATTTCCTAAAATCGCGTTCACAACGCTACGGAAACCGCGGCAGACCAAACCAGACGAAAGTGCGCATTCAGCTCGGCAAAGAACTCTTGCTCTTCCTCAACACTGAAGTCCTCAGACATTTTTCTTTCGTTGTTTCTTTCTTTGCACAGGTAAACAGCACATTTTTTCTTCTATGCTTGCATTATCGGCAGAGCAGACGCTGAATGCGCACTTTCATCTGGTTTGGTCTGCCGCGGTTTACTATTCCTTTAAAGAGAAGTGCGGTGATAAGGTGATGTCATGAAACCATGGCACCCAGACAGAGAAAAGACTTTTAAAAAAGCACAACATGCAGAAGGACCTGTAAAGAAACAAAAGGACTGGAATATCTATCTTTAAATGGCTTTGGGACTCCAACATTCTGCAACAGCTTCTTCCCCACTGCCATCAGTAAACTGAACTGTTGGGGGGAAAAAACAAAAAGAAAAAAACTAAATCATGCCACAAATCAAGACTCTGCACCACACTGATAACACGTAACCAAAAAATGTTTTTCTACTGCATTTTTGCACCATATATATATTTGTCTTTGCACTGCTCTGAGCTTCCATATCAATGCGTTTTGCACCATGTTTTTCTCCCACGCTGTTTACAATCCACTGCTGCAAGTGGTGGAATGTAAGTGGAAATGTTCATTTCACTACTAAGCTGCTGCTTATTTACTGTCTGAAAGCTGAACAAAAAAAAAATTATTTTTGTTTACACTCCATGTATACAAAATATCAAAAGTTGTCTAAGGCTACCAAAGGAATCATTTTAACCGGGAAGCAGAAATAAACCAAAAGACTTGAACTTTATTGACATGCTATGAAATGACCTTAAACCTGTCCAGTCTGCCTGGGTTAAACTAGTTCTGCCTGTCTCATCGGTTAGACCTCTCTGTCAGCTGTGAGATGTTTGACAGGTTCCAGTTTCCCCTAAAGGATCGCCACCAGATCAACCACTCTGGTTGGGGTGTGTGTTGGATCATTGGCTTCTCTGGTGGGAACCATGGTGGATTTAAGTATATAGGTTTCTGCTGCAGTAAAGCATCCCCAGACCATGACGCTTCCACCTCCATGTTTGGAACTAGTTTGTTTTTTTTATAACAGCTTTCATCCTGCTGTCAGCCAGACATACAGATGGTGGGAGGTACTTTGAATGTCCTCCACTTATTGACCTTTTCCCAACAGAAGGAAGGTTGGTTTTAGGTGTTATCAGTGTGGTCCTCTGTTTTATTTTCCTATATTTTAATTATGTAAAGCACTTTGCATTGTCTTTGTACTGAATTGAAACCAACTAGGCCCCTTTAAGCAGACTCAGTGAGGAGCAAAGAAAGGAAACAATTATCCAATGATGCCCACCAGATGTAATGTGTGAAAGACATTTAAAGTGGAAATAAATGGACTGTCCCGATTCACCTCACACCAGAGGTTGTAGATTTATTTTTGTACATATTTTAGAAAATGATACCACATGCTGATGCTCACACCCATCGCTAAACAGAATGATTTGCCACTTACCTACAGAAAAACAGCACAATAAAGCCATGTGAGTAACCTCCAGATAAACCTACAGCCCTGTTAATAAAACAAAGTGCTCTATTGTTGGCGGCATCTCAGGAGGAAAAAACTCCGGCTCCTGTGGGCGGATGAGGTCAGCTCTGCTCTGGGTGGAATCTAACAATGGTGACATATTGCTGCGTCTCCCTTGTGGGTCTAATGCACAGGTGGCTGAGCTTAACGCAGATAAGAAAATATGGATAAAGCATTAAAAAGGAGATTAAACTGGAGTCTGGATGATGACAGGAAATTAGTGAAGTCACTTAAAGAATAAAAGAGTCTTTAATTCTTAAATCCATTCACTAAACATTATAGCAGAGCTCTGCTATATTTCCCCCAATCAGAAATACTGCTGCAGTCCATCCTGCTTTATCCACTGCCTGCTGATGTGCAGGAATGCAGCATTCTGGGTAATGTAGTCAGCCTCAACTCCTCAGGGCACCAAGCTTGTAGTGTCCTCAGGGCAAAAGAGCACACACACACCAGGGTCCCCCTGTAGGTGTCCTCAGGTGGTTCCTCCGGGGAGGCTCTTCCTGCACCTCCTCAGCAGACCTGGCTTCCTGTAGCTCTGCTATAGCAAAGTGTGGCGGACTTTTTCATAAGCTCCCAGGAAGATGAAACCCCCCACGCTGATGAAGGCTATCCTTGGGATGCTGCCTGCAAACAGCCTGCAGGAAGAAAACAAATCAGATCACAAGATCTCAGCTGCTGGACTGTAAAGTATTTTTTTATAAAACAAAACAAAAACAAAAAAAGTGAACTTTTTTTTCAAACCAAGCAATGCTCCAATTCCTATTCTGCTGCTACACTTGCAACCACTTTTACTTGTTTAATTTGTTTGACTGATCAAATTATTTTTTGTTGATCAGAATCAACATAATTTTATCCAATTTATATTTTTTCAAGGCGTGCATGACAGCAGAGGCCATAAAACAGCCTTTTTAAAACGATGACAAAAGGTTTGGAGCCTTTAAGTATAATTTCATCTAAAAAAAAGAAAAAAAAAAAAGAAAAAAAGATAAGCAAGAAGTAGAAAACTGCATTTACTGACTTTTTCTTTTCTTACTTTCCTAACAGCCAATCAATGTTGGCTTAAAATCAGCAGATTCCACCAGCATCGTTTAACTACCGGTAGTAGTAGTTTTTATATAAAAAAAAGTCAGCTTATAATGGGATTAAAGTGCAACATTTAACTATTTATCTCAGATAATGCTCGGCAAAAAGATAAGAGCCAAAATGTTTTTCAAAATGTTTTCTGATATAAATAAAAACCTCCATTACAGTTTTACTGTTTTATGTTTGGCTTCATATCTGACAGGATGGGTATAATTTACAGCTTCCTCTTGTTCAGGTGGTGGGAAACAGACTTAAAGCTTTAGGGTTTTAGTTCGCTCTGAGATGCGGGGCCAGTGAGATACTGTTGACGTTATGGAGGTCAGAGGATGTTACGGATCATAAGCGAACACCCATCTCCCCAGAACTAAGCCTCCCACTCCTCCTGATACAGACAGCTGTTTTTGGGATTAGGCTACAGGCCCCCACCTTTGTTCCTCATTGGAGCTCCCATCTCCCCTTTTTTTTCTCCTCTCACTTTCTGTGTCTGACTGATGGCCAGATGACATCCACACATGTCGCTCTGCTGTCCATCCATCTATACAACCCCTCCACGCCTGGCTCAGTTGTTGGGGATTTCTCCTCCGTTTCTTGTTTTTGCAGCGTCATCCACCTCTTCCACACACGCTCGCGTTCTCTCTCCTGTTAAACTGCCTTTTTGTTCTCCTCTCCTCGCCGTCTTTCCCTTGTCGAGCATTTGCCTACCGTCACCCTCCGTCTGCCAAGACGCCCCCGCGCTCACATGGTCTGGCCCGGTCTCGGTCCAGATGTTACGGATGACAGGCTGCTTGTTGCATGTATGCAGCTCGCAGGCACAAGAGGGGAAAAAAAGGAGAAAAAACGCAGAAATACTATTGACGCACTTAAAACCGTCTGTCTGTATTTATCATCTGCGGGGGAGTGATAGTCCTTATGTTTCTGTCTGCTTTCATTTACCAACTCCCCCCCTGAAATCTCTGCAATAACAGCCTTTGGTTTTCATCAACTCTTAAAAATCGCAAAGGCAGAAATATTAAATTATTCAGTTGAATAAGATGAGATTTGAACTCTGCATGCAGATTTTTTAAAAGGTGAGGCCTGCATAACATAATGTAAGGTAGAACATTTTAGAATATAATCAGCCGTTATTTATTTGAGCATCAAATGCATTTTACTGGGATATTTCGTGAAAGCACCTGGGGGAGGGGGAGTTGGGTTAAGGCATCACCTCAGCTTTACCGGCCATGTTGAAGAACATCCTCACAGCATGCAATACCCTTAATTTGCTTAGACTGGAGCCTACTGGACCTCATACAGATAGACAGCCATATTTATCCTAATTTAAGCCAAACTGAACTTTAGGCATGAGTAATATTTCACAGATATGCTCCAAACCAGCGGCGTAGGAAGCGGGGGGGACGGGGGGGACATGTCCCCCCCAATATAAAAGCCAGGTGGATATGTCCCCCCCAAAAATTGTACCGCAAAATATTAGATTTTGACATTTTTTAACTAGCGTGCTTTTATTTTGAAGGCGCAGCATAGCGTTACGTCACTGTACTCCCCCTCCCCTCTCTGAACTGCTGAGTGAGAGTGTTGAGGGAGGGAAACAGCGATACAGAAGTCAGAAACTTGTGAAAGAGGTAAAATGGTCTGTCGGGATGCTGCCTATTTAAAACGTCTTTGTTGTCAGTTCACTTTCATATATAGAAACTGAATCTTTTTGGTTTAGTCATCTTAGTCTTGTACGAAAGAGGATTAGGGCCACTGGAAAAAAAAAAAGTTAACTGATTTTTAAATTTTTTTTTAGTTTAACA